CCCCAGCCCCCCCCTCGCTCGCCCCCCCCCCCAGTCCCCCCCCCCCCGCCCAGGCGCCCCCTCGCCCGCCCGCCCCCCAGTCCTCGCCCCCCCCCGCCCAGGCGCCCCCCCGCCCCCCCGCCCCCCCCCCCCCCCCCCCGGGCGCCCCCCCCGCCCCCCCCCAGTCCTCGCCCCCCCGCCCAGCCCCCCTCATCGCCCCCCGCCCCCCAGTCCCCCCCCCCCGCCCAGGCGCCCCCTCGCTCGCCCGCCCGCCCCCCAGTCCTCGCCCCCCAGTCCCCGCCCCCCCGCAAACCCCCGGTCCCCGCCCTCCCGAGACCAGCCCCAGCGCCTGGGCCCCCGCTCGGCCCGCGGTACCTGAGCTGCGGCTCATGCGCTTCTCCCAGCCCGAGGGCAGCTTCTCCTCCTCCGCCATCTTCCCTCCGCCGCGCCCGCTCCGCCTCCCGCGCCCAACCCCGCCCGGCCACGCCCCCGCCGCCTGGCGCCTCGGCCTCCCGTTGGCGGAACGGAGACCGAGGCCCCACCCCCGCTGGCTCCCATTGGTTCAGAGACAGCTGAGGTCCCGCCCCCGAGCCAGCCCCTGTCTCATTGGCGGAGAAGATCAGTGATTGGCTACAGGCGACAGGCCGCAATGATCCCGGAAGCGATTTCCGCGTCTCAGGCCCACGTGACGGGGATGGAACCCGGGGAGGGACAAGGAGAGCGCGCCGCAGCCAGCTGCTCTCGGGGGTTCCTGTACCGAGGCACCGGGGGAGGCGGTAGTCGCTTGCAGTACAAACTAAAGATGAAAAGTGGCATCGCATGACTATTAGCAAGCACGTGTTTTCCCCAAAATACACCCGGAAGCATTATCTTTCTAAAATTTTAAACAATTTTCTAGCCTTAGAAAACATCTTGGATTCAGGATGAAAAGCATCATGGGAGAAGTGCTATATGTTTGTTTGGTCGTTAAATTGGTTTCCATTTTTGTTTTGTGAACTGCTAGGTGATCTTTGATTCTCTTGTTTCATATTTTCAGGGTTTCTACACAGAGCAGCAGGAAGGAACTCCATTGATGCATAATTAAATAGAGCTCAAAGGGATGAATAACCAAAATTTAGAAGACAGGGGGAGAAGTCAGTACAGGTAAAATAGAGGGAAGTGAAGCACCAAAGGTCCAGGCAATGTAGCAGCTACAGGCAATGAAGCAGCTACAGGCAATGAGATAGGAATTCAAGAAGATATTTCAGGTTGTGCAGCTGAGGATGCAACTGGTTCGTTATCCCAGTTGAGGTCTTGAATAGAGATTGGGAGTGGCTCAGTCATTATGCAAGGTAACCTATTTCCCCTTGTTTTTTCCTCCCCCCTCAACGTTCTTGTTAAACCCTGGATTTGTGCTGGAAATGGCCCACCTTGATTATCATACACATTGTAAGGAGAGGGATCACTTTAGATAAGCTATTACCAGCAGGAGAGTGGGGTGAGGGGAGGTATTTTTTCATGCTTTGTGTGTATAAAAATATCTTCTACACTTTCCACAGTATGCATCCGATGAAGTGAGCTGGAGCTCACGAAAGCTTATGGTCAAATAAATTGGTTAGTCTCTAAGGTGCCACAAGTCCTCCTTTTCTTTTTGCAAATACAGACTAACATGGTTGTTACTCTGAAAAGGACGTACAGGGTGGGTCTAGTTAAAAATTATGCTAAAGGAGCCAGGAAAAGGGTGACAAGGGGATAAATATAACAGCTGTGAGAAGTCTTACCAGACAGATTTTACCATGGAAACCAGGAGACTGTCTGAATTAAGAATGAAATCTATTATTACTATTGTTATTTGTTAAAGTGCTTCTTAATCAATTGCTCTCCTCTCTTGCTGTCAATCATGTCTCATTGATGTAAATTTTCAGGATCCTAGCCAATCATTTACGTTTAGAACTGAATGAACAGTTCTGAGAGGTTTTTTGGGTGGTGGGGGGGAAGGGGTTGTGCTTGAAGGTTCAGTGAGAACGATAAGGTAGAGCATATATAAGGTTATAGTACCTACCAACACAGGATGCCCACAGCTTGGGCAGAAGCTGTTATAAAAACAAACGTGATGGGAGTTGTGCATTAATTAGGGCTGCTGTGGTAATTACTGAGGAAGAGAGATTTCTTCTGACTTAAAAAGCCAGGAGCAGGACACTGAAGTTCTCAGGAGACATTTATTAAACAATTTTTTAAAACAAAATCAACCTTCTTACAAGTTTGCACATAGTTTTATTGCCATCAAAGCTAAAGACACCTGATAAAACTACATGCACATCTTGAGCTTTTAATGTTTACCTTACATGAAATAAAGTTTATAGACCAGTTTTATATTAGAAAAGTGATGCCTGCCATATGCAACTGCAGCTAGAGTCAAGGCTACTGATAATATAACTCCAGGTTCATGCCATCATGGATTTCATCTGGAAGGAATGAGTTAAAGGAAATTTCACAGGAAATGCTCAAACTCAAATGGAAGAAGGCATTACGTTTCTACCAGCTCACTAATTCAAAATAAACTACAGCAGCAAATTTATTCATTATGATACATTGTACAAATTCTCAACAACAGAATTCTCCTTCCCACTTTACTACTAGTCCCAAATGGACAAGCTAAACTACTAGTGTTATGGAAGGGAACATGGGTCATATGAGACATTGTAAGCATCAATGCTAGAAACAGCAGTATCTTAACTCAGCAAATTAGTCCCCATCATATGCTACCCCACTCAATTTAGTAAGGGAGTTTTCCCTATAGATTCACCAGTTATCTTATGATGGCCTCCCAATACCATCAGTCACCAGTACCCAAGCTGATAAGCAAGACCTCTGGTTTGTGACAAGCAACTATGTCAGATTAGAAAAGGTCTCTGTCTAGCTGTGTATTTATAATGTGCCTGTCACTCCACTACTTAGGTTGTGGATCTTGTAAGTGATAACTGTCCCATTCTTTATTTTAACTAGACAAACGGTTTCCTCAGAAGCTGCAGTTTACTTGGGCTATTCTAATGTTCAAGGATACAGTCTCCCAGTGATACATGGTCCTTGAAGATTGTGTACCTGCACAAACATTTTAAAAAGGAAGTTAATCAAGAACAGAAGTGCAATACAAGAATTAACAAAAGGAAGCGTAGTCAATAAGAATAGAACAATTGTGATAGTACTCAAAGGTTTGCTTGTATCAGTTACTACATTAGAAAATCAATCACTGAAATGTTACACGACAGGTTTCTGAAACCATGTTTTTTAACAAATGCCAATCATGAATTCCGTGGGGAAAGAGAAGAGACTGCCTGTGTGCAGTTACAGTGTTAAATATATAATAACTTCACATACAGAAGTTAGAATGGCCATACTGGGTCAGACCAAAGGTCCATCTAGCCCAGTATCTTGTCTTCAGACAGTGACAAATGCCAAGTGCTTCAGAGGGACTGAACAGAACATGTAATCATCAAGTGATCCATCCCCAGTTAGGGGAACAGCAGGAAATTCTGAAATAAAGAGAGAACCAAGTAAAAATTTTGAGTCGAATGTCACCGCAGGTGAGAATATGAAGGAAAATTCACTCAGTAGCATTCATCCAGAATAATTTGTCATTATTTACAAAGTTTAGACTGCTGGCCTGCCCCTGAGACTTTGTTGAGTGAGAGGTTTTAGTGGAGCCTCCAGGAACATTGGACAAGGGGGAAGGTACAAAACGTGAAACATCTGAGAATTAACAAATTCAGAACCTAAAAAGAAATCTTAAACGAACACTCACTGGAAGTCTGCGCCACAGGCCTCCTCTCCTTAGGATCGCCCTTTCTGCTGCATTCTTTAAGATTTTGCATTCATATGCAGCTTTCCATCCCAGAGTGCATCACAAACTATTGAGACACATGACCTCGCATGCAGCCATCTCTGGGTATGTGTGGGGGTGGATTGTAGCAGAAGACGGCATCAGACAGGCACCCACATGCAGGGAAGTGCAAAGAGCTCAGTTTACCTGCCTTGGGCAGATGAAGAGCTAAAATGACCCTGAAATCTGTAGCTCCCCGGAGGCCGAGTGCATCAAGCCAGCGAAGGTGTTTCCTTCCCTTGCCCCTGCCTTTCGTTCACCCACTTACCATTTCTTCAGCACAATTTTGTCCCACCGGGTCCCAGTCTGAGCCGCGATGAGTTTCTTCAGGTCGCCGATCGTGTCCTCCGTGCTGAGCCCCGCGGTTAAGGAAACTACCTTCCCGCCCACGGAGCGAGCGCCTGGACCGAGCCAAGACCGCCCCGCCACGACATTGACCCCGCCGCCCCCCCGGGGCGATACATAGCCCCCCCCCGTCCCGCCCCCCCACGGAGCGAGCGCCTGGACCGAGCCAAGACCCCCCGCCCCCCCGCCATTGACCCCACCGCCCCCCCGGGGCGATACATAGCCCCCCCCCCCGCCCCGCCCCCCCACGGAGCGAGCGCCTGGACCGAGCCAAGACCGCCCCGCCCCGCTGCGACATTGACCCCGCCGCCCCCCCGGGGCGAGACATAGCCCCCCCCCGCCCCGCCCCCCCACGGAGCGAGCGCCTGGACCGAGCCAGGACCCCCCCGCCCCGCCGCGACATTGACCCCGCCGCCCCCCCGGGGCGAGACATAGCCCCCCCTGCCCTGCCCCCCCACGGAGCGAGCGCCTGGAGCGAGCCAGGGCCCCCTCCCGGGGCGAGACACTGACGCCCCCGGGGCCGCCGGGCCGGGCCGGGCCGAGGCGCTGCGGGAAGCGCCCGCCGGATACTTGCATTTCACGCGGACTTTCTTGCCCAGCCGGTCGTTGCAGACAACTTCGATCATGCCGCCGGCCTGGGGGGAGGCGAGAGGCGTCAGGGGGCGGGGGGGGGATAGAGGCCGCGAGGGGGGGGTCCCTTCCCGGGGCGGAGCCAGCCCGGGCCGTGGGGGGGGGGGGCCCAGACACCCCCGGCACCTACCGCCGCGCTCGCCGCCCGTCAGTCCCGCGGAGAGCGCTGCCGAGGCTGACCCGGAAGCGGAAGTGCTCTGCCAGCGGCCGGAAGTCAGTGGGACCCGGGTCGGAGTGACCCGGAAGCGGAAGTGTCTGGCGATGGCGGCGGCCGGGGGCCTGGGGGCGCTGCCCGACTCCCTGCTGCTGGAGATCCTGCGGCTGCTGCCCCTGCACGAGCGGCTGCGCGGGGCCCGGTGAGGGCGCAGCCCCCCCTTGGCCCGGCCCGGCCCCTTCCCCCCTTCTCTCTCAGCCCCCCCTTCCCCCCTCCTTCACCCCCCTTCTCCAACCCCGGCCCGCCCCGCCCCCTTCCCCCCCGGCCCGGCCCGGCCCCCCCTTCTCCCTCAGCCCCCCCTTCCCCCCTCCTTCACCCCCTTCTCCAACCCCGGCCCGCCCCCCTCTCCCTCACCCCCCTTCCCCCTCCTTCACCCCCCTTCTCCAACCCCGGCCCGCCCCCCCCTTCCCCCGGCCCCCCCCCCCTTCTCCCTCGCCCCCCTTCCCCCTCCCCCCCCCCCCAACCCCCCCCCCCCCCCCCCCGGCCCGCCCCCCTCCCCCCCTCACCCCCCTCTCCCCCTCCTTCACCCCCCTTCTCCAACCCCCGCCCCCTTCCCCCCTTCTCCCCACCCCCCCCCCCCCCCTTCCCCCCTTCCCCCCCCTCCCCCCCCCCTCCCCCGCCCCCCTTCCCCCTCCTCCCCCCCTCTCCAACCCCGCCCCCCCCCCCCCTCCCCCGGCGGCCCGGCCCCCCTTCTCCCTCAGCCCCCCCTTCCCCCTCCTTCACCCCCCTTCTCCAACCCCGGCCCCCCCCTTCCCCCTCCCTCCCCCCTTCCCCCCCCCGGCCCCCCCGCCCCCTCCCCCCCGGCCCCCCCCTTCTCCCTCAGCCCCCCTTCCCCCTCCTTCACCCCCTTCTCCAACCCCGGCCCCCTCCCCCTTCCCCCGGGGCGGCCCGGCCCCCCTTCTCTCTCAGCCCCCCCCTTCCCCCTCCTTCACCCCCTTCTCCAACCCCGGCCCGCCCCGCCCCCTTCCCCCCCGGGGCGGCTCCCCCCTTCTCCCACCCCCCCCCCCCGGCCCCCCTTCTCCCTCAGCCCCCCCTTCCCCCTCCTTCACCCCCCTTCTCCAACCCCGGCCCCTTCCCCCCCCCCCCGGCCCCCCCCTTCTCCCTCAGCCCCCCTTCCCCCCTCCTTCACCCCCTTCTCCAACCCCGGCCCCCCCCCCCCCCCCCCCCCCTCCCCCTCGCCCCCCCTCAGCCCCCCTTCCCCCTCCCCCCCTTCCCCCCCTTCTCCAACCCCGGCCCGCCCCCTTCCCCCCCGGCGGCCCGGCCCCCTTCTCCCTCAGCCCCCCCTTCCCCCTCCTTCACCCCCCTTCTCCAACCCCGGCCCCCCGCCCCCTTCCCCCCCGGGGCGGCCTCCCCCTCCCTCAGCCCCCCCTTCCCCCTCCTTCACCCCCTTCTCCAACCCCCCCCCCGGCCCCTTCCCCCCGGGGCGGCTCGGCCCCCCCTTCTCCCTCAGCCCCCCCTTCCCCCCTCCTTCACCCCCCTTCTCCAACCCCGGCCCGCCCCGCCCCCTTCCCCCCCGGGGCGGCTTGGCCCCCCACATCCCCTTCTCTCCAACCCGCCCCCCTGCTTTCCCCCCCTGAATGGTTCAGCTCCCCAGGCCAAGCCCGCTCCCTCCCCCCCCCCCCCCATAATGGGGACCCCCCCCACAGGGGCAGCTCGGCCCAGCCCGCTCCCTTCCCCCCCCGATGGGGAGCCCCCTCCCAAGGCGGTTGGATCCAATCCTTGCCTGCCCCCATGATGGGGATTCCCCCACACAGGTAGTTTGGTCCAGGGGGCGCCTCCATGTCCCCCCCCAGGTGGGTGAGCTCCTTCCCTGTGCCTCCCACAAAACTGAGCATGGATGCTGCTGCTGGGATTGTAACTTGCCCTGCTGCTGTCCCCACAGGGTCTGCAGACGCTGGCGTAGGCTGGTACAGGACAAGATGCTCTGGAGACATGTGGATTTAATGCCCTACAAGGTACCAGCCCAGCTGTGTCCCTGCAGCGTGTCTCCCAATGGAGACCACTCCAGGGGGCTGATAAAGGCTGTCCCAGGAGAAGGGGTAGAGGGGCCTGTGGGGACCAGACGCTTGCATCGGGGAATCAACATGAGATGGTGAATGAGAGAAGGAAGAGGAGAAGCAGGGAAGATATCCAGGGGCAGATCTTGTACATATGGGGCAAGGGCGGTGGGGGTAGGGGAGAAGGAGCTGCGTAGCAGAGGCTAGTGTTAGATGGGCAGAGAGGCCATGAGATCAGCTGGGCCAGTTTCTGAAGAGCATTTAAAACCAGGAGGGTTGTTTTAAATAGGTCTCTAGAGTCAGGGGTGGTCTCTGAGGACAGAGACTGTGTATGTGGAGGAGAAGGCAGCCACAGCATCTGACACGTGCTGGAGTGTGGAGAGCAGAGACTGAGGTTGCTCACAGGGAAAGGAGCTGCAGCAGTCAGGGTAAGAGGAGATATACTGCAGGGTCGTGCCTGTGGCTTACCCTACAGGTGTGGAGTACAGTAACTCTCCACTTACCGTCCTCTCGCTTAACGTTGTATTGACCTTACGATGCTGCTCAGTTACAGAACATGCTCCGTTTAAAGTTGTGCAATGCTTCGTTACAACGTCGTTCGACTGCTGCTTTGTCCACAGCTGGCAGCCCCCCTATGCCCCCCCCCAAGCGCTGCCCACCTGCTGTCAGACCCCGCGGATCAGCGCCTTCCCCCACCTGCTGCCTTTGGCAATCAGCTGGCTGGCAGCATTCAAGAGGGAGGGGGGAGGAGCGAGGACGCCATGTGCAGGCTCCCACTCCCTCCCCTGCCTCCTGAATGCCGCCAGCCAGCTGATTGCCGCAGACAGGAGGGAGGGGGGAGGCCGTGCACCGTGTCCTCGCTCTTCTCTCCTGCCACCTGAACACCGCAAGCCAGCTGATTGCCCTTGCCGTGGGCAGGAGGCGAGGGAGGGAGGAGGAGCTAGGATGCAGTGTGCGGAGTAAAGGGGGAGGAGGAGGAGGGAAGAAGAGGCGAGTTAAGGGTGGGGGCTTGGGGGAAGGGGTGGAGTGGGTGGGCCGAGGGTTGAGTCCCCCGCCCCTGGTACTTGCAGAGTAGGGGAAGCTGCTGCTGCACAACGTGCTTCTCCTAGCCTCCTTGCCTGACTCATTGTCCCCAGTGCCAGGGGCTGTGCCTGTGTGGGGTAAGGGGGGGCACCTCCCAACTATAGTACTGTACTGTATGGCAAAAAAAAATTTCCCTGGAACCTAACCCCCCATATTTACATTCATTCTTATGGGGAAATTGAATTCGCTTAACATTGTTTCACTTAAAGTCACATTTTTCAGGAACATAACTACAACATTAAGTGAGGAGTTACTGTATCTTCCTTTTAGATGAATGGGAAAGATCTATTTGAAGAAGAGCAGGGATGGGCCTTTCCTTGCTCATTTACTGCTTCTGTTGAGTTTGTTCCCTGTCTTGTCAAGGTGCCAAGTGCTTTGTTGCTTGCTCTCTTGTGCTCAGATCAGCTCCAAGATCCTGTGGCACCTGCTAAAGCAGTACCTGTGCAATAGCCTGAGGATACTGAAAGTGAGAGGAGCGCTCTACTCAATGAGAAAGCATGAGTTCCTTTCCCCAGCGCTGTTCCAGGCACTCGGGAAGCAGTGTCCCAGCCTCCATCACCTGTCCCTGACACAGGCTGACCTCCGTCGGCTCCCATATGACTGTATACCATCTTCTCTAAAGAGCATGAAGCTGAGCTGGTGTGAGATTCCTACTGTGTGGTTCCAAAGATCTGTCTCTCCAGAGACTCCCAGGGTCCTGCCACAACTGCAGCATCTCATGATCCATAACGTCTCCGCCTTTTCTGATCAGCATCTGCTTAACATCTCATCTCAGACCAGCCTAAGGACACTGAAGCTCTCTGAAACCTACCGGCTGACAGACGCTGGGATTCAGAGAGCAGCTCCGTATCTGGAGGACCTGGAATGCCTGGTTCTGCGCAAATGTGTCATTGCAGATGCTGCTGTTCACGTCATCGGGCGTCACATGAAACAGCTCCGCTCTTTGGAATTCAGCAACACTTGTTCCATAACAGATGCAGGCCTGGCTTGTTTAGCAGCCTTGAAGTGCTTGGAAACCCTCCGCCTTGAGTCCAGATTTAAACTTTCCCCTGATGCCATTGTTGCTGTGTGCCAGGCACTCCCCCAGTTAAGGAATCTCAATTTAGATGGGAGTGACTTGGAAGACCAGGAAATGCGTAAAATTCAGGCAAGTTTGCCAAACTGCCATTTCTGATGTGTTCCCTGACCCACGCTCTGAGGCGAAACGTTAACAATGGGGAGTTGTATGGAACGCACAAGGGTGAGCTGTGGGGTGTTCACCCCCCTGAAATAACTCCCAGAATTGCTGCTTCTGGTCAGGGTTGTACTCCCAGTGGCCGTTGCATTTATCTGACTGAAGGCAGAATTTTCTCTGGCTAAAACAATTAGGTGAGCAGTGTAGGATGAGAACCATCCAGACAGCTTGTGTCACCTGAAAACAGGCCAGCAGAAATTCAGTTCTGCCGTCTGCTTGGCTGGGCTCCTGAAGTGACCCCTCACCTTCTCCTACTAAGAAAATAGCAAGGCCTGGTGAATGGGTGGCGTATGAGGAACGGTGGCCCTATGAGCTTATTTAGATTAGAGGCAGTTTGGCCGTAGGGGTTTCTCTTTTAAGTTTAACCCTGTCTCACATTAAACATCAGGCAACAGGTGAACTATCCCCAAGCACAAGGGAGTAAGTCAGCTGTCATCCTGATGCACAAAAGGGTTTGTCTACCCAAACCTTGGACTCTAGACCAAATTTAACTCAGGTCAAAAGGCATTAGCCACATTGGTGTGCTGTGAGCATACTCCAAAACATGCCTAGTAGGAAGTGGACAAAGGATTGTGCAAACACACATTTTAAATGCAGGGAACAGAACCTTTAAGGGGAAAGAACCCATCACGTCTATTTCACAAACACAGACACCAACCATGTGCCACACAGGTCGGTGCATGTGCGGCTGTGCTTGTGTCCTGTCCCGAGGGGTGGAGTGGTGGGCGTTCTGCTGTGACCCCAAGGGTACGTGGAATGGGGGGGGGAGTATAAGGAGGTCCCGGAATGCATTTGTCTGTGTGCTGCAGGGGGAGGCAAGCACACACTTGTTCAGCCTCAAGTTCAGTCAGAGACCACAGCATGTCTGTGTGCTCCTTGAGGAGCACCATCATTGCTTCCTCTCTGCTTCTTCTGTCCTCGTGATCACTCTGCATTCTGTCCCTGAGCATCACCCTCCAAGCCTGGAATCTGACACAGCAGAACCTTATGGGACCTCCTGCAACATGTCTTCCCTTGTCCTCGTCTTTCTCCTGCTGTCTGGCCCCGCTGGTCTGCCAGTGTGGATGGAGAGACCTTCAAGGCCACATTTGCAGCTGCAAAAGAAACAGTGGACAGAGTGTTTGCTTCAGCATTGCAGGCACACATCTGCAGAGGTCCTATTGTGAATGCGTTCACGGCCCTGGATCCCCACAAGTTACAAGCACAACATTCTCACTTCTCCTTGGGATCCACAGAGCTGGAGAGCAGTCCCAGGCATGATGAGTACATCCTGGGGGGCAGGGCGAGTTGGGACTATAAGTTGGGGTAGCTCACGGGCATCAGTATAAGCAGATGGGGCAGTTGAGCTGAATACTGTCACTGTTTCCCACAGGCAGTGGAGACTTTATCGTGTATCTTGCTCCTGAAGGTAACAGAGGCAGAAAGGAAACGGCTCCTGCACGTGTCCGGCTGCTGTTAGTCTGTGTGCTGCAATGATGCCTGCTGAATTAATTGCTGAGTGGCGTGGGAAAGTGTCCTGCCATGGCAGAAGAAGTAAGGCAGCCCTCCCCAGAAACCTTCAGCAGAGGACTGCAACCTACTTCCAGGAGAGTTTCCTTGAGGTCTCTCTAGAGGAGGCACGGGACATCCCGGTGCACGTAAACAAACTGTTCCATGGGGCCCCCCTCTGTCTAACTGTACAGGAGAATGAGAAGCAGATAGCAACTCTGCCTGTATGGTTATTTCACTATCTCTTCTAACCTGATTAAAAACATGAACAGATGTGTGCCTGCAATACTGAAGCAAACATCATACTTACCAGAGGTTCCTTTCCCTGAATCAGGCTTGCCGGTGCTGGATGATAGGGACCGGCTCAACTGCTCTGGTGTCAGGAAGAGGTCCTGTCTTGCCACACCACTTGATCCCCCGGTCGCCTGTCCCCCACTCTCCTCCTACTGCTGTTCCTCATCCAGCACCTTGTACTCAGGGTTCACTCCAGTGGTCACAGAATCATAGAATATCAGAGTTGGAAGGGACCTCAGGAGGTCATCTAGTCCAACCCCCTGCCCAGAGCAGGACCAGTACCCAACTAAATCATCCCAGCCAGGGCTTTGTCAAGCCTGACCTTAAAAACTTCTAAGGAAGGGGATTCCACCACCTCCCTAGGTAACGCATTCCAGTGTTTCACCACCCTCCTAGTGAAAAAGTTTTTCCTAATATCCAACCTAAATCTCCCCCCCTGCAACTTGAGACCATTACTCCTTGTCCTGTCATCTGCTATCACTGAGAATAGTCTAGATCCATCCTCTTTGGATCCACTTTCAGGTAGTTAAAAGCAGCTATCATATCCCCCCTCATTCTTCTCTTCCGTAGACTAAACAATCCCAGTTCCCTCAGCCTCTCCTCATAAGTCATGTGTTCCAGACTCCTAATCATTTTTGTTGCCCTTCGCTGGACTCTCTCCAATTTCTCCACATCCTTCTTGTAGTGTGGGGCCCAAAACTGGACACAGTACTCCAGATGAGGCCTCACCGATGTCGAATAGAGGGGAACGATCACATCCCTTGATCTGCTGGCAATGCCCCTACTTATACAGCCCAAAATGCCATTGGTCTTCTTGGTGCATGACTCTGACTCCTCCAGAGTATTCCACAGGGCCCTTGGGGGGTGCTGGGCTTGCCGCCAGTGATGCCATGCAGCTCATTGTAGAAGCAGCGTATCTGGCTCTGCACCTGAGCAGCTGTTCGCCTCCCTTGCCTTCTGGTGTGCCTGCCGCAGCTCCTTGATTTTCATGAGGCACTGATGTGTTTCCCTGTTGTAGCCCTTCTCCACCTTGTCCCAAGCCATCTGGCCATAGATACCTACATGTCTGTGGCTGGATCGGAGGTGTGCCTGCTCAGTTTCTTCTCCCCGGAGACCCAGGGGATGCAGCACATCCTGTGCGTTCCAGGCAGGAGTGTGTTTGCTGCGTGGAACCAGCAAGGTCAATTGGGCAGATGCTAGGTGAGCTCTCCATGCTGAGCAAACGGGAAATGGGATTTCCAAAATTCGCAGGGCTTTAAAAGGTACGTGGCGAGTACCTGGCCACCAGACAGTGGAGTTCAAAACAGTGACCAGAGCGGTAGTGGTGTGGCATTGTGGGACACTTCCTGGAGGCCATTAAAGTTGACGTAATTAACACAGTGTCTACACTGACACTGTAGCGTCGTAACTATGTTGACTTAAGTGCTACGCCTCTTGTGGCGGTGGAATTATTAAGTTGACGTAGCGGGTGATTTACTTCATTATAGGGTAGATGCTGACCGAATAAGAGCAACGTAAGCCACCTTGCGTTGACCTAACTGTAGCATAGACCGAACCCAAATGTATGTGAATAACTAAAGCATAGATCTCAGGTATTATATTTGAATAATATTAGCAGGCTGCCAGCAGCCAGATCCTTGCACCTGGTTTGTTGGGTTACATTGCTGTGCATGGCTGCTTGTGCCTTCTATTGTTTAAATACTCCCTCCTCTTTACCTGCTGTTACAAAGCCCTGAGTTCACATTAGCAAGTTTGGGCTGATGTTAAAACAGTAGCTGTTATGAAGTTTCCATTCTGGGACACACTGAGGTTTTGAATCTGCTGAGTTGTTATCTGTAATCAAATGTAAAATGTATTTATAAAATAAAAATGCTTTTAGATCTGTAAAGTCGTCTCATGCTGTCAGATTTTGACTGAAATGTGGCAACAGTCGACGTGTGGTTTTTAACATATCAGTGATACTGCTTGTGTTGTATGGAGAGACCCATTTCTTCCCCCTTCACCTGCAGCCCCACCCTTTTCTGTCCCTTCCCTGGGGCCCCACTCCTGTTCTATCTAGTGTCCCCCCATTCCACACACACCCAGTGCAGCCTCGCAACCCATTTGGTACTTTCTGCACTCCCGCTTCCCGCTGCCCTAAAACTAGAGAAGCTCTGTCTGTCTCTCCCCCCCACCAGGGCCCTAGGCCACAGCAAGGAGTGAGAGCTCCCCCAGGCCTGAGGCTGCGGCAGGTAGCAAGAGCTCCCGCAGTCCTGGGGCCACAGCGGGGGTCCCAGTGCAAGAGCTTCCCCGCCACCCCCTGCGCTTCTGCGAGGGACCAGGGTCAGGGCTCTGGGGCTTCTCCTGTCCCACCTGGCGCTTCTGCCAGAGAGTGGGGTTGGGGTGCTGAGGGCTTCCCCTCCACCCACCCACCCAGCTTCCCCCGTCATGCCCGCCCGGTGCTGCTTCCAGGGAGTGGGGTCGGGGCGCAGGGTCTCTGGGGCCCCCAAGTTGGCCAGGGCCCCTGGACATGGACCCCATAGGCCCAATGGCTAATCCGCCACTGCCCCCTTTCTAGACTGAAAGCACCTTGTCTAATGGGCGCTATCAAGGTGTAACTACATTTGAAATACAGCTACATAGTCAATATTCATAGTTTGATACAAAAATGATAACATGCACACAAATCATAACTTTTCCAATGACACGTCACATGACTTGCACAATATACATCATAGTTATGTCATAATCATATAACATCACTGTGAAGAATATGGGGTTCAGTGCCACACCCAGGAAGCATCATAAATATCTTTTAAAAATTGGCTCCAGAGGAAAGGATTGTGACAATTGTGAGCTCCGTAGTGAGACGTCTCTTAACAACAACTTGTCTTCTCTGGTTAAACCTTTGGGTTTACAGATAGGTGCTGTCCATACCTGTGCAAGTCAATTAATCATCTTTAACAGCTGGGCAGCCTTCTGCCATGGGACAGAAGAGCCAGCTGGCCCTGCTTAGAATACAGAAGTGCATGTGATGAGTTTATAACTAACGTTAATCACAGTGAATAGATGCCATGACGTAGGCCCAGTGAAAGGTCTGGCATTCGCAGTATCACCGGATCCAACTCTCTCTCTCAATGCCCCTCCAACCCACTGGCCTGTGATTTTGATTCAAATTGCCATTTCTTTCCTGGCAAGATTGTCTGCTTGTCCGGCAGGTGCATGAGAAGAAAGTGAGACACAGCTGCTAAATTGGTGAATTCCCTAGTGTATTCATCAACTTGTGGTCTGGAAAATACATCAGACGGGCTAACTTCTCAGTTAAGCCTCCCATCGCGGGCCTATGTTTTTATATAAACAAATTTGTCTATCGGTTGTTTTCCTCCTTTCAAGGTAAAGGTTGTGCAAGAAGCTTTTAGGTCAAACAACAAACCGGGAAGGCACTGAACCCATGTGATGAAACCCATGGGTTCAGTGCCGGGAAGGCACTGAACCCATGTGCATCTTGGCAACAACTGCCCTGCGGGCCCTGGGCTGACATTGTGTCTTTGTGCTCATACACAAATATGACCAGTGCAAAATTCAGGGAAATAGTGGTGAGAGCGGTGAGAGGGAATGGTTCCAAGCCTGTTTGTTTAATACCTCACTGTCCCCTTGGTGCCAGCTGGCAGAGGGCACAGAGGGGGTGCATAGGGTTTCAAGGATTCTCTGGGTCAGGCATATGCATAGTAATTCACCAAAGGGTGGCATGTGAGGTCTCTCCTGAAAGCTCACTGGTCATAATCACAGTGAAATGTATGTAAGCATATTATATACAAAGTTATGTATTCATACTGAAATGTGGGTTCTTCGGGTGTGTAAGTTAAGACAGGTTACTAGAAGGCGATAAGTTCTGGTCAGGCAGGGGATAGTAGACATTTATCTCCCTAAGAGGTCATAGTATATTGCATATCTTACAATATAAGTCTATTTGCATATGGAGCTACCAGCTAATCAAGATTTCAAAGTCTATAGGAAATCACAAAATCTACAAGAGGGAACACAGTGAAGAGTTAGTCTGGTATATCCGGAGACCGCAAGGAGACACAAGGTATTCTTCACTGAGTAGCCAAGCTGAGTGTGTGGCTTGTTAAGTGAAAAGGGATTACAGCCTACTGGCTGAAAAATGCCTGTGCGCAATCCTAGAAGACAGGATAGTAACTAGCGAAGTCTTCTAGGTTCTAGAATGTGTGTTATCATTTTATGTTACTTGTCACCATTTGTTTCTAATACCTCTGCTTGCGATCATTGAAATCTCTGCTCTTTATTTAATAAACTTTTACCTGCTGTCCCTATTAACATATCTCTGTGCTGAATGTTAAGCAGAGTGTGATCTGAAGGGAAATGGGTAAGCTGGTGTGTACCATGTCTTTGGTAGCATGGGATCTGTGAATTCTGTAGGTGTCCAATGGACCAGGGGCTGGTCGCTCCAGAGTGACACACAGGGATTAGAGTGTCTCTATCGCTAAACTGGAGAGAGAGCAGGGCCTGCGTAGGCCTAGAGGGGAGTGCCTCCATGGCTGGAGGGGTGTGTGGAGCTTACTCCGAGCTGGCACAGACAAGGCTTCCTCATGCTAAGCAGAGGTGGTAGCAAGGGACCTCACAACCTAGGCACCCTGGGAAGCGTCACACCTATTGTTACATGTTTATCACAAACACAAAGGTTTAAGCTAGAGTAAAGGCTGCAAGGAACTATGTTACCTTCCGTAGTGTCTGCCACTGGGGCATCTGGTCCTTTTTTAACTACAGACATGAAAACAAATTGGCAAAAATGAAAATCAAGAACACAGCAAAATCAGTCAGTCCAGCTCTTACCACAGTTCAATGGGGCCAGGCTGGGACTCTGGAATCTGTAAGTGCTGGAAATAGGGGTCCCCCCGGCTTGAAGTGGTTTCCATTACATACAGGGTTTACAGTTTGGTTCAGTGTCTCTCAGCACCCTCACTATAAAACATTGTTCCAGCCCTCCTGCTGGAATTGAAATGTTCACTACAGTTGTTAGCACTGGGATATTTGCAGTCTGCCAGCACCGTGTGCTAAACAGTGTAATTTAATATTTGTAAGTCCCAACTTGCCAGTTTCTGAACGGAGATTGTTTTCTATCCCAGGGCACCTGCGGAACATGCACATACTAAGCATGGAATGGCAAGGGAACAGCAATTCTACGTTTCATGTACTAACTATCAGACCGTTCAGCTGCAAGAATGTATGGAGTCTGGGTATCACAGGAGTCCTAGAGCTGTGCTGGCAACTTGCCGAGACTGTAGATACCACTGTTTAGTCTATAAAAAGAAAAGGAGTACCTGTGGCACCTTAGAGACTAAATAAATTGGTTAGTCTCTAAGGTGCCACAAGTCCTCCTTTTCTTTTTGCGAATACAGACTAACACGGCTGTTACTCTGAAACCTGTTTAGTCTATGTGAGCATCATATGACTTTGGGAAAGGCAGTTCTCCTTCTCTGTGCCTCTGTTTCCCCTCCCACCCGTTGTGTGCCTTGTCTGTTTAGAACGTAAGCTATGAGGGCAAGGATTGTCTGTTACTGTGTGTGTCTGTACGTCATCTGGCATAAAAAGGTTCCTATTTGAGACAGGATCTTTGGGTGCTACCACAGTACGAATAATGACTAATAATAAACAGCACAAATATAGCCATATGTTAATGAGCATTATATCAAGAATTGCATTCGGACAGCGACTTTAAATGAATATAAAACTTTCACTAGATGAATTGTGACTTAGCTGGAAGCAGTTAAATTTTACAGTGAGATACAGCACAGAAAAAAATGGAAGAATTCAAACAAACTACCCAAGATTTCTCAAGGGGCAAGATTATTAAAGGCACAAGTGGTGGGTAGACAAATAACTCCTATTGCCTGTGAAAGGCATTTAGGCACCTAACTGCCTTTTGTGCTTAGTTATATCAGTAAATATTTTTTTTAAAATTACTCCTGAAAGATGAGCTGTGGCCCATGTGTATTTGTACTGGACACCGAGGTGTAAAATAAACCCAATGTCTTTGCAACAAGATGTCTTGGAGTCCAGAGACAAGTGACAGTTGAGATCTCACAGTGAAAAGCTACTTGTTTTTCCAAGTTCCATCATTCAAAAATGTTGAGTGACCTCAAACGTTACAAATTACCATGAGACGCTTACTAAGCACGTGAGATTTGGGGCTCAAACGAAGCTTTTTTGAGAGTTGGAAAAGGGGTTGAAAGAGCACTTAGGACTTGATCCTCCTTTATCCTGCCCCTTTGTGCAGGCATTTATACCGTGCAAATGGAGTGCAAGACACTACCGTTCTGATCTGATTGCATGTTGCACCAAATTAAATGACTGCACAAAGGGCAGGGGAATTGGGTACCTAGAACTGAAAATGCTTTAATTACAAAGTAAGGACGATAGCTCCATAATACATATATCTGTAGGACAATGATCAGCCTGGGATCCATTTTATCTTCTTGTGTAAACATGTCCACTGGGACACCGCCAGTTCTGTGTGGAACAACTCTGCGAGTGCTTAGTAACTGCTTTCCGAAGACAAGAGTGCTGTGATTTTCTTCCAGAAAGAAGGTCCTGAGTTGTTGCTTTTGTGATCAAGCTGGTTTTTTTCTTACGTGCATGAGGGGAGCAGCTTCAGGAACCAGGCTTCTTGTATTTTTGCTCTTGCACAACTTAAAATTGACTAAGAGAGTTTTGAATAGAAAGAATGAGCTGGTTGGCCAACCAAGACCTTTTAGTCTGTTTGAGCAGAGGAGTTATCAGGACCACGTTTGAAATGGAAGCAATCCAAACAGCCAGGGCTAGAGGACAAGTTACCTGGAACATGGTGTGAGCACTGCAGGTTATACATTAACCTCTGGATTTAACATTCCTAGTGGAATTGTGAATTCTCTAGTCTAGATATTTCAGGGAGCAGGGTTCCACTTGGCCATATTCTAAAGCCATTTAAAGCCACCTCTGCCTCCCAGTCATCATTTACAGCATGGACAAGGAAAGGCTTCAAGATGAGCTGCGCATTTTTAGAGGTAAGCCCTCTTCCTTCCCTTCCATCCAATAGCTCAGGAATGGGAGGAAAGATTGAAACGGGTCTCTGGACCAGATGAGTGGACAGTCATGGGGTAAGAGGGAAGGTCCTCTCATGGATCAGTAGCTGGTTAAAAGATAGGAAACAAAAGGTAGGAATAAATGGTCAATTTTCCAAGTGGAGAGCAGTAAATAAAGGGGTCCCCCAGGGATCTGCGCTGGGGCTGTGCAACATATTCATAAATGCTCTGGAAAAGGAGGTAAACAGTGAGGTGGCAAAGTTTGCAGAGGATACAAAATTATTTGAGATAGATAGGTCAAAAACTGACTGGGAAGAGAGACAAAGGGATCTCACAAAACTGGCTGACTGGACAGAAAATGACCAATGACATTCAGTGTTGACAAGTGCCAAGTAATGCACATTGCAGAACAGAATCCCAACTCTCCATACAAAATGATGAGGTCTAAATTAGCTCTTACTATTCAGGGGAGAGATCTTGGAGCCACTTCGGGGAGTTCTCTGAAATCATCCCCTCCATGTGCAGCAGCCATCAGAAAAGGCAACGGGACGGTAGGAACCATCAGCAAAGGGAGAGAGAATAAGGCAGAAAATAGCATCATGCCTCCGTATAAATCCATGGTACGTCCAGACCTTGGATACTGCCTGCAGGCTGGTCACCCCATCCCAAAGAGGAAATATCAGAATTGTAAAAAGTACAGAGAAGAGCAACAAAAATGACGAGGAGGCTGGAACAGCTTCCATCTGAGGAGAGATTAAAAAGACCGGGACTGCCCGTCTTAGACAAGAGACGACTAACCTGGGGGGGGGGGGGGGGATACGATCGCGCTCTAGCCAGCCGCGATGGGTGTGGAGAAAATGAGAAAGTGTCATTTACCCCGTCATGTAACACAAGAACCCGGCCTCACCCAATGCAATGAATAAGCAGCAGGTTTAAAACAAACGTAAGGGAGTACTTCTTCATAGAACATACAGTCAGCTGTGGAGTTCATTGTCAGGGGGTGCTGTGAAGGCCAAATGTATAACGGGGTTCAATAAAGAACTAGATAAGTTCATGGAGGATAGGTCCATCAGTGGCTATTAGGCAAGATGGCCGGGGACAACCCCAGTTTTCTGGGTGTCCCTAAACCTCTGACTGCCAGGAGCTGGGACTGGACGATGGGATGGATCACTTGATAATTGCCCTGATCTGTTCACTCCTTCTGAAGCACCTGGCACTGGCCGCCATCGGAAGACAGGACACTGGGCTGGGTGGACCATTGGTTTGACTCAGTGTGGCCATTCTTAGGAGTGTGCTCTCTGCTGCTGCTGAACAGATGCAGCAGAGAAATCTTTCCTCACCCTGACCTGCGAGAAGGGAGACGAGCGTCTCTGGCCAATTCAGTCTTTGGCCTCTCTGTTCTGACAGGCGGGCTAATTAGTGCTAATTGTGCTGGGCTGTTTGAGACGAGCCCTGCTGGGAGCTGTATTTTATGCTTTTCAATGAAAGGGAAATAGTTTGTTGGCCGGTGAGAGAAGGAAGTGGCCTTTCTATAGAGATGTTACTGCTTTGAATAAGACTCATGGGCCCTGATCTTCTGAAAGGACTGTGAGGGTCCGACTCGAGGCGCCTCAGAGGGGCTGGGTTGTTTCGGCACTCAGCATTGTCTGAAAACCGGAGCCCCCCTTAAATTGTCTTAAACCGGTCACGACGTCCAGAGTGTGCAGCCCCTCTCCAAAGGTTGAGTCACAGGCCTAATCGCCCTGGGATGAATTTGGAATGTTTGTTAAACATCAGTTAACGATGGGGAAAAAATAATCCTCTAGAGGGCACATGCTAAACAAAACTGTAACACTGGATACTTGGTCACAGTCTGAATGGAAGCTTAAACCCTTCCATTGTTCGAGATTATTACCAGCCCTTATAAGGAAGTTATGGTCATGAGAGGTGTGTCCCATGAATGGTTAGAAGCTTATAAGCTCTTTGGGGCAGGGCACGTCTCTCTGTTCTGTGTTTGTACAGCGCCTAGCGCAATGGGGCCTTGATACATGACTGGGGCTCCTAGGCGACACCATAACACACCTAATAAATAACATACAGTGCCCAGCACACTGGGGTCCTGATCCAGGATCAGGGCTCCCAGACACTACTGCAGTGTGGCTAAGAAGAAAAAGCTGATAGATAGCTGTAAGTTGTAGTTATAAATGCCCTATCGACCTCTATACCAAGCAATTAATCATCTAATTTAGGGTTAATCATTTATCAACCCTTTTTAAACAATGAATGGGACCTTCCTGCAAAGCAGCACCAGAGCCGCTGCGAACCTGTCAGTCTGTGACCCTTCGCAATCTTTCTTCTGTTCTAAAGACAGGAACTTCCTCCGGCAGAAGCTGAGATCCTCCCTCACAGTCTACGTGCTGCTGGCACTTTCTTACCTGCTGATTGTCATCCTGTTTGTGGTGTCGCTCTCCAGAGGTACCTTGCGTGGGGCCTTCGGGAGTTGAAACGTTTCACGTCATTGATGAGGAAGGAAGTTGGGGGGACTCAGAGAGACGTGCTCAGAAGCCCTGGGGTCAAACCCTGATACTGAGCCCTTCTGTGTCCTTGTTCTTCTTTGTCTTACCAGCAGCAAAGAGCTCACCCAAAATTCCCCCTGTGCTGGGTGCTGCGTGGACACAGGGAGCCAGCCCCTGTCTGGCAGAGCTCTCAGGCTAAACTGACACAGGGTGGGAAGGGAAACAGGTACAGAGAAGGGAAGTAACTGCCCAGGCTCTCCCAGCAGGCCAGGGGTTGAGCTGGGAATAGAATCCCATCTCCTGAGTGCCACCCTGTCCCCTGCCTGTCCACCTCGGTAGCAGGGCCCTCGCCGTCTCTGTGTCTCCATTTCTCTCCAGCTGCAAAGTGGGGGTGGTATTGTATGTTGTTCTCTACCTGGCGAGGGGAGGCAGGTGACGTGACTTTGAAGGTGTGGCACTCTAGCATTGTTATAGAACGGGCTCTATTGATTATCTTCATCAATAAGGTAAATTAAAGCCTTGCTCAAAAGGACCCTGGTGGGCTGAGGGGGCGGAGGGGTGGGAGATAAATTAGGTCAAACTTGTTTAACCCTTCCACTGCCTCACACTGAGGTCTTGTTGCTGGCGCTGGGGGTGCTCTGCCAGACATAGCTGGCATGCTGAGTACTAGCAAGAGGGTTACTCCGTCAGCACTCACCAGCCCAAAAAGGAGACACATCCTAGCCGCCTTGGTCACACAGAACGTGGCCATAACCCCAGGGCCAGGCAGATCCCCAGAGCTTCATGTTGGGACTTTTCTGGGCGTGGATTTTTGCACTGATGTTGTGCAAGTCTCTAGTCACCTTTCACACCAGCGCTGCTACGACAGCATAGCTCCCCTAGGGCACCAATGCTTACTCTGGGGGACAAACCCTTGGAAACACCCACCGCAGCCTTTGCAAATCTGCCTGGAATTTCTGGTGCCCACTGGGGATTGTCTAATGGCAGTTTTTTTCTTTGTGTATCCCAAGGTGTGTTTGTTTCCCACCAAACCTGTTAAATCCTGCTTCTTATTCCAGGATGAACCAGGTTGTAAACCCGGGAGAATTAGTGCATTAAGGTGCCCAGATCACCTTGCCCTGTGATTGGCTGTAAGGGCATGGTTTTGGGTTTCCCCATGGAGTAAATAAGCCTTTGGAAGGTGTTTCTCGCACACGCAAGTGCTAGTGAGCTTGCTGGGTAAAGGGTGTTGAAACCCAAAGATGACTCAATGTCACTCAGACATAACAGGGTGGCATCAGGGTCAGATAACCTGGCGTTCTCTCTCTCCCCCCCCCCCCCCCCGATTTTAGTTTCAATGCTCTCTTCCCAACTTAATGAAATGCGCAAGGAGCTGAAACGGAATAACTCCAGCAACGATTTCAAATGTAAGTGCAGGGCACGGTCCTGTGCCCCCTCCCCCCTGCTCCTCCCCAGCTCCCGACTCCTGCTGCCTCTGCTGTGTCCGCCCCAAGGTCCACTGCCCCTGCAGGAGCCTCTTCCGTCCCATATTCCTCTTCCCGCCCCTGCCCTCGGCTCTGCCCACCTCCCTGGGTTGCCCTCCTGCGGACACCTCGCTCCTTCTGGCCACAGCTGCCACTCCCTGCTGTGATCATTCGTTGTAGAGTGTCTGTTCAGACCCTAACACCAGGGATCCTGCTGTAAGGTCCGTCCCCAAGCAGAAATTCTGGGGCTTTACCTCTTCTGATTTTCTTTGGCTCGCGTCACCCTGCACACGGGGTGGGGTGGGGTCGTCCTAGTTTCTGAGCCATTTCCTTGCTTCGGAGCCTAGGCCCCAGCTTTCTCCTGTTTGTTAGACAGAAGCAAACCCCTGTAGAATTGCGACTGGACACTTCCAGCGATAACCACTGTCTTGGAAGTCAGGTCCTTGCAGAGCTGGGGTCATGTTGTCATTTCCACACGTGTCTCTGACTCAGCTGGTCCCACCCCTTTCCAGTGTTCCCGTGTGGACCTGAGGCCCGGGAATGGGAATACTTCAGCGGGAAATGTTACTATTTCTCCTTGCATGCCACATCTTGGCAGAGGGCGAAGGAGCTGTGTGAGGAGGAGCATTCGTTCCTGGCCATCATTAACAGCCATGCCAAGCAGGTAAAGACGAGAGTCTGGATGGAAAGCCCCTGAGCTCCTTTCTCATGGCTTGCCGTCTCTCAGGGCCTCTCTGTCATTCCCGCATTCTTAGCACCCGCAGGGAACTAGCCGCTTCCCCCAGCTAACTCTGCAGCACCCTCCTGTGGGTCCCCATCGCTACACCAACTCTTTGCTGTGGGTGGCCAGTGGGGATTGAACGTGGCTGAAAGCACAGAGGCTTCGACCACTTGGGCTGAAGAAGCAACTCCATTAGCAGTCCAAGGCTTTTGTGCTCTTTGTGCCAGCCACACAAAGGGGACGTCACTGAGACCCTGGCCCTGTGTGGTACATGCTCTGTTATGGGTCCCTGGATGCATGTAGTGGCAGAGCCCTGTGGGGTGTGTGACACACTGAATAGACATGGCTTCACCAGCCCCACTTCTGCTGTGATGCAAATGAAGAGTAAAATTGCACTGATCCTGGTAAAGGAGATGACTCTGTGCTTCCTCCCCCACTCCCCTTCCGGCCATAGAATTTTATCATGTACAGGACACGCAACCAGCGCTTTTGGATCGGCCTCTCAGACCGGAATGCAGAAGGGGAGTGGAAATGGATCGACGGGAGCGACTCCACAACCGGTTTCACGTGAGTGTGGGGCTGACCCCTGCTGGCTACCGCTCTCCTTCTTCCTTAATGCCACAGGCCTCCTTCTGCAGAACAGCCTCTGTGTCTGTTGAGAGAGCACGAAGGCGTGGGGCTGGGCCACATCAGGGTAAAATCAGGTCATGGGAAGCCACATGGGGTGTTGATGTCCAACTTTCCGTGGTGTATAAGGCTGATGGTTTTCACCAGCAATGGGCCTACACTTCAATCTCTGAGCCAGCCGTCCCCCTAACTCCAGGAAACACCGGCTTCAAATCCCCATGGTGTGTGGCTCAGGCCCACCTCCTGCTTTGACCCCGCTCTGTCCCCTGCACCCCGTTCCTGCCACTCCAGCTGCAGTCCCGCTGTGTTTAGGTACTGGAAGGAGGGGGAGCCCAACAACAGTGACCAGAACGAGGACTGTGCACACGTCTGGACCTATGGGGAGTGGAACGACGTGCATTGCACATACGAGTGCTATTACATCTGTGAAAAGCCTGCACCTCCGTGAGCAGAGACCGGACCAAAGCCACCTCCCAGCCACACTGCCTGAACCTGCAGGTCAGTGCAGAGAGCCAGCACTGCCTCCTGGTGGTGACAGAGATGCAAGCCAAGGTCCAGCCCTTTGACACTGTAAACATCACACTAATCTTTTTACTTTCCCCCGCTCTTCTGTTCTTAATTTATATTCCTTTTATCTTTGTGTCCACTTCCTGTCAGCTCCTCCATGGGTCCCTCTCAGCCATTGGGTCAGTATCCTTGGGAGGACCCAGAAGGCACTTCTGATGCTAAAAGTCTGCACCTTTCCAGCTTGAGCCTAGGGCTGATCAAAAATGTTTTCAAACGAAGATGTTGTTGAAAAGTTGCCTTCTTGAAACCAAATTTTAAAAATGAGTTTTCAAAATGTTCTGGGGTTTTTACTCCCCCTCTCCGTGCCAATAAACGAAAAAAAGAGGGGAAACGGGTGAAAATGGGAAAAATATAAAACCAAACATTTTGGGTCAAAAATTATTTTTTTGGGAAAAAAATGAAAGGAGGTTATGAAGTTTTCAAAACTAACCAAATTTTCAAAATCCATCCCACCCCCAAATTGCATCTGTTTTCAGTTTTCAATCAATTGGCTGTAACAGACTTGCGTCCTCCGTGGGTTGGGCACCTCGGTAACATCCGGAGACTTGTGGGTCACACGTGGGTGCACTTGGAAGGTTACAGGGAACCAATGTGCAGGGTCTGCTGAGAACCACAAGAGGCCGCAGTGGCAGCTGAGTCCTCCCTGTCTTTAGCAGGTGGAATAGTGAGAGCACAGGGCAAAGTTTGATGCAATCACGGGGGAAGTAACCAGTTTAGGATCAATAAGAGCAGACACAGATTTATCCAATGTGTGATTCCCTGCCCTCAGGGAGTCAGACACAGTCACTAGGTATGGGGTGTGCCAGTTAATAGCATTTATAGCCATCTCTGCAAGCTCTGATCATAGGGTTAGAGGAATCATAGTGGGGATTAGGGAGAAATTCTTTCCCACTGTAGAGCTAGTTATACTGGCAGAGGGGAGGGTTGGCTTTTCCTCTGACGCAATGAGCAATGGCCACTACCAGAATAGATGGACCCCTGGTATGAGAGGGGATGACCCCAGACTAGCTGGGGCAGTGGCCCTCTCGGATATGAATCCTCTAATGCTCCTCTATAAATTCAGAGTTAATGGCCACATCTGCAGCTCTGTTAGCGTCTGTGGATTTGTCAACTCCATAGGTGCTGGAACTAGGGGTGCTCCCACACCCCCTGGCTTGCCGCGGTTTCCATTAGATGCAGGGTTTGCAGTTTGGCTCAATGGCTCTAAGCACCCCGCTATACACATTGTTCCAGCCTCCCTGCACAACTCTGAGGTCTCTTCCCCCACCCTCCAAACCCTGGTGCTGTTTCCCCCAGGAATTCTCTCTCTGTGGCATGTGACTCTCCTATTCCCTGCACAGGGAAAGCTCTGGGTCAGATCATTCTGGTGGCCGGGAAAGTCTCCAGCGAGGGATGGTGACAGATACATATCTCTCCATCAGACATGGTTTGGTTCAGCTGCGGCGGGTCTGGAAATTATTTCCCTGTGAACAACTTCATTTCTGTCAACAGCCGTCTTTGAAAAATGTTGGCGGTGTTATTGAAAACTCCTCCAAAAATCAGCCAACAAAAAACCGACACTTTCCATGGATAACCAAACAATTTCACCTGCACACCCCTCCCCCCCCCCCCAAATATTGGAAAATAGATCTTGGAAATAGATCTTGGAAGATAATGTCCATTTTGTCAAAAAAACAACAAAATTTTCCTGGCCAAAATAAAACTCTTGATGGAAAATTTACAACCAGCTGTAGTTGAAACCTGTAGGCACCAGATGGTGCCCTTCCGCCCACAGCAGAGCGCTGGAAGTGGAAAGTTGCACTCAGCATAAAGCCAGCTTCCTTTGCTGTCTCCTGCGCTTTCTGTCCTTTCCTCATTGTACAGTAAAAAAAATAAACTGAATAGGCTGCAGATTGCAGGCCTAACGGTAAAACTATTTGGCTGGGGGGCTTCTGCTGCCCTGGCACCCTGAGCACTGTCACGATAATAAATAATTAAGTCTTCTCATCAATCAGTCTACAAAGGAGGCGACTCATTACTCCCATTTTACAGACCTGCATTGTACATCCCCTGAGTTCTCAGCACTTACAGCAGCTTACACAGGGTTATTACGTTGCTAATAAAAACAGCCATAGGACAAGCCGTTGCTCTCGAGTTGGAAGTGAAATGGGTGATGGTGAATTCGGAGCCCCTGGTGCTCAGATTTGCAAAGGGGCTGAGCACCCACCCGTCCCATTGACCTTGCAAATCAGACATCCCCATCTTGATTAGGAGGACGCACATGAGGTAAGAGTGGCGCTAACACGGTTTATTAGGTGTGTTACGGGAGCGCCTCGGAGCCCCACACAGGACCAGGACGCCTGTGTGCTGGACGCTGTACAAAAGATTCTTGTGTACAAAACAAATTAATAATCTCTGATGTACAAAGACACCTAGGGCCCAAGCCTGTATTCCTGGTGAAGGTCTGGGGCTGGATTCGACAGTCATGTACCCTGGCATAAATCTAAGCTGCTCTGGCTGGGCCTGCCCCTTGCAGCAGCACCTAGAGACCCACTGTGCTAGGCGCTGTACAAGCACAGAGTGAGAGAGAGCCCCAGAGCCAGGCTGGGGTGGTGTCCTGCTCTTCTGTGTACCATGGTAGCAGGGCCCCCTTGTGCTGCACCTGACACAGTCCCTGCTCTGCAGAGCTGGAAGTCTAAAGGGGCAAGACAGAAACTCAAGGCCCAGAGAGAGGATGCCAGCGTCATGCAGGAAGTCAGAGGCAGAGCTGGGAATTGAACTCAGGTCTCCTGTCTCAGCCCAGTGCCCCAGTCATTAAACAAGGCCTCCCTCTGAGAGGCCTCTGGAGAGGAGCTAGGATCTAATCCTGGCTGGGGCACAGGCAGCTGTTGTCAAGGCTCAAGTGCCAGGGTGAAGGATTTGCATCGGATCCTTCTCCTGGAGCAAGAATATCTTGCAGACAAGTCTGTCGCCTTTGTTCCAGTTGGAGTTTGACAGTAAAAGCGAACAGTGGGCTGCGCCTTGCCATGCCCCGACCCTGAGCATACGGAGAACCACCCTGTTAAACCCAGGGTTGTGAGTTCAATCCTTGAGGGGGCCATTTAGGGATGGGCAGCTGGGATGGATACAAAGGTGACAGCCACTTTCTACACCCCTTAGCTTGGTTAGGGTTGGGGAGGATGCACACTTAGGGGGCTTGGTGCACATGTTAAATACCCAGGCAGCTGCTCTAGCCCAGGGGGCCCATATGCTCTTCCTCTGCGTTTCATTGGTGGACAGCGTTCGCCAGCGAGTTTATACGGGTGAGTCCCCAGAAGGCTGGGGATTGGGAGTGGTTGGCAGGCCCCATTGTCAGAGTCTCCAAGAAGCACAGTGCATTGTGCTTCCTGTACACAGGTGAGACCTTCAGAGGGTCAATCTGCCTCTGTCTCTTCAAGGTGGAGAGAGGCCGTCTGGGGAGCTGGGGCCGGTTGTTACTCTGGCAGGGCCTAGCACGAGTAGGTGGGACTGGATGGAGAGTGCTGAGGTTTCCCCACACACTTCATCACTCACGGGGTGGAGAGGGTTCTGCTCAGTGAGGGGAAGCGGGCTGCGCTTCGCCAGAACCTCCTCCGGCAGCAGGGCCTTCCGCAGTGCCGCCATTACACGAGATTGATCACATGTTAGAAACCTCAGCGCCTTCATCTGTAGCGGCTGCCTGGGGAGAGATTTTGCCAAGAAGCTGCTGCACTCCAAGGCCTGGCAACCACATGCATTGCAACTGCCAGGGGAAGCATACTCGAAAAGGCCATGGCTGAAACTCTAGCCAGGGGGACTAGGAAAGTATCTGGGGGCTACAGCGAGTCAGAGAATGGGCAGGATCGGCTGTGACAAGTTAAAAAAGAAACAGGCAAATTTCACACAAACTTTTTGGGAAAATTTTCAACAAAACAAAACTCAAAACAATTCAGGTTTGGGTTTTTTGGTCCTCCTCCACCCTGCCTCCCTTCTTCCCCACTCAAAACAGGAGGGAGAGAATGAAAACACACACACACACACACACGTTTGCTGCCAAAACATCTAAAACTTTTACTTAAACCAAACTTACTGTATTGTTTTTAGATTTAATTAAACAATGGGGTGAAAATGTCTGAGGAGGGCAGCAGAGGTCTCCCAACGCCAGCCTTGGCTAAGCACAGATTGCGGGGGGCAGGAAACGATGGGCTGGGGTCACTGCTGCACCCTGGACAAGGCTGCCCAGGCTGCAGGGGTGCGCAGCCCAAGGGACATTTCAGGGCCTTGGTCCCGGGGTGGAGAGCCCCTAAGAAGAGTCACACACCTGTTGCACTTGGGCAGCCTCAGGCAGGTCAGGTCCCCCAGCTGGCCAGGTGCAGGGCCCCCTCCCAGCCCGGCCTGGGCAGCAGGCTGGGGCAGAGACCCAGGGCTGTGCGGTTACTTCTCTACCAGAAATAAGGGCTCCAGTAAGGGGGCCTTGTGCACCCTGGGGCATCTGACATCCCCACAGGCCAGTTATAGCCCCACTCTCCACCCACTCCCCTGAGAGGGTCCCAGGGCCCCCGATTATATCCCAGGTAAAACCCCAATCCATGAAACAGAGAGAAGGGTCTCTGGGGAATCATAGAATATCAGGGTTGGAAGGGACCTCAGGAGATCATATAGTCCAGCCCCCTGCTTAAAGCAGGACCAGATCCCTAAATGGCCCCCTCAAGGATTGAACTCACAACCCTGGGTTTAACAGGCCAATGCTCAAACCACTGAGCTATCACCCCGCCCCCGGTGGGGGGGGGAGAATCTGAGGGGGCACGATGGGGCAAGGTCCAGGGGGCATAAAGGGGGGGGTCGCAGGGAGCAGGGTGGGAGCGGTTCTGGGCTTTCTCGCTGTTGAGAATTTTCTTCAGGTTT